CTGTGTTACCCAGGCTGGGATGCAGTGGCGCAATCTCGGCTCACTGCAACCTCTGCCTCCTGGATTAAAGTGATTCTCCTGCCTCAGTCTCCTGTGTTGCTGGGACTACAGGTGTGTGTCACCACACCTAGCTATCTATTAATATTTTTTTAAATTAAACTTCAAAATAAAGGCTTGGCATGGTGGCTCACACCTGTAATCCCAGCACTTTGGGCCAAGGCAGGCGGATCACCTGAGGTAAGGAGTTCGAGACCAGCCTGGCCAACATGGCGAAACTCCGTCTCTACAAAAACTATTTTAAAAATTAGCCGGGTGTGATGGTGGGTGCCTGTAGTCCCAGCTATTCGGGAGGCTGAGCCAGCAGAATCACTTGAACCTGGGAGGCAGAGGTTACCATGAGTTGAGATCGTGCCACTGCACTCCAGCCTGGGTGATGGAAGGAGACCCTGTCTCAAAAATAAATAAATACATACATAAATACATAAAGTCTCTCTTCTCATTGCCATCATGTCTGAGTCAGAGTCTCCAAAGAGCCTAAACAAATAAAAAATTCCAGACTCAGAGAGGTTACTCAAGCTTACTTGCCTTGGATGTGACACCAACCACAAAGGGGTTCAGGGGGTCCAGAAAGAACCTTGCACTCCTGCTAAGATCACCAAGCTCTCCTTCCAATACTGCCTTCTTCCAACATCTCAAAGGGCTTATGAGGACCATCCTAAGAAGAAGGCTGTAACTGACAGCGATTATCCACCTCCCCCAAGAGGACCAGCATGGAGAATAAGCTCATCAAGGACAATGCCCTTGTTTTACCTTCCAGGTTATTCCAGGATCTCATCCCAGATAACTGTCTATCTTAAGCTCTCTCTTCTGTTCATCCTCTAACGTCTCCCATGCACTGCAACCTCTAATTCAGGGCCTGACATCTGTAAGATCCCTAGATCCTCATCCTGTTCTGTAAGCAGCCCTTCAATTTCTTTTTTTTTTTTTTTTTTTTTGAGATGGAGTCTCACTCTGTCGCCCAGGCTGGAGTGCAGTGGCCGGATCTCAGCTCACTGCAAGCTCCGCCTCCCGGGTTCACACCATTCTCCTGCCTCAGCCTCCAGAGCAGCTGGGGCTACAGGCGCCCACCACCTCGCCCGGCTAGTTTTTTGTATTTTTTAGTATAGACAGGGTTTCACCATGTTAGCCAGGATGGTCTCGATCTCCTGACCTCGTGATCCACCCGTCTCGGCCTCCCAAAGTGCTGGGATTACAGGCTTGAGCCACCGCGCCCGGCCCGCAGCCCTTCAATTTCTACTTCACCGAAACACGACTATTCCCTCAGGACACTGTTTCCCCAGAGCACTGTAAGCAGTGGTCTTTTTCTGTCCCATGCAAGCCCCCATAAGCCACACTCTACTGTCTTAAAGAAGGAACACACATTGCCACATCAAGACTCTTGTTCCTCTCATTTCCCTGTTTTGTTTTTGCTTGTTTCTTTTGAGACAGGCTGTTGTTCTGTCATCCAGGCTGGACTGCTGTGGTGCGATCATAGCTCACCGCAGCCTCGGACTCCTGGGCTCAAACAATCCTCCTGCCTCAGCCTCCTGAGTAGCTGGGACTACAGGTGCACACCACCATGCCTGGCTAACTTTTATTTTTGTACAGCTGGGGTCTCACTCTATTGCCCAGGATGGTCTCAAACTCCTGGCTTCAAGCCATCCTCCCACCTCTATTTCCCAAAGTGTTGGGATTACAGGTATAAGCCACTGTGCCCAGCCCAGACTCATTTATCTAATTACTGACTTGACGACATCTCTACTTAAAGGTGTACTTGGCAATTTTTTTTTTTTTTTTTTTTTTTGAGACACAGTCTCACTCTCTTGTCCAGGCTGGAGAGCAGTGGCCTGATCTTGGCTTACTGCAACCTCCCCCACCTAGGTTCAAGCAGTTCTTGTGCCTCAGCCTCCCGAGTAGCTGGGATTACAGGCACGCTCCACCATGCCCAGCTAATTTTTGTATTTTTAGTAGCGACGGGGTTTCACCATGTTGACCAGGCTGGTCTCGAACTCGTGACTTCAAGTGATCCGCCTGCCACGGCTTCTTCCCGAAGTGCTGGAATTACAGGTGTGAGCCACCGCACCTGGCCAGCAATTATTTTAAGAGTTGGGGTCTTGCTATGTTGCCAAGGCTGGTCTTGAGCTCCTGGCCTCAAGCGATCCTCCCACCTTGGCCTCCCAAAGCACGGGGGTTATGGACATGAGCCACTGTGCCCAGCAGGAGCAGTATTTTAGTCAGTTATTCACTTGCCCACTAAAACCTAAACTTCCTGAGGCCGGAAGCACATTTCTCTCTCTCTCTCTCAATCTCTCTCTCCCTCTTTCTCTCTCTCTCTCTCTCTCTCTATATATATATATATTTTTTTTTTTTTTTTTTTTTCTTTTTGAGATGTAGTGTAGCTCTGTTGCCCAGGCTGGAGTGCAGTGGCACCATCTTGGCTCACTACAATCTCTGCCTCCCCAGTTCAAGTGATTTTCCTGCCTCAGCCTCCTGCGTAGCTGGGATTACAGGCATCCGCCACCAAGCCTGGCTAATTTTTTTATTTTTGGTAGAGACGAGGTTTCACCACGTTGGCCAGGCTAGTCTCCAACGTCAGACCTCAAGTGATCCGTGCCTCGGCCTCCCTAAGTGATGGGATTACAGGCGTGAGCCACTGTGCCCAGCCACGGGACCCACTTTACTCTTAATTTCCCCAAATCCTAGAACAGTGCGTGGCCCACAGGAAATCCACAGAATATATCTGCAGAATGAATGAATGACTTGCCAAAGCAATTAGGACAAATAAGTAGATATCGAGTAAACGCCCACAACCACCTGCCCCGTACCCTTTTAAGCTCTGGGGAGACAGCGGCTCCTGTGGGTTCTGGGATGGGGGAGTCAAGGCTCCGCAGGCGGAGAGCCCGGATGCAGGCACGGCTAGGCGGCCCTCTCTATGGTGAGCCCCCGGGTCGCTCCTCCACAGCACCCGTAGTGCCTCTATGGTTCTTCCTGTCCTTAGTCGGGAGGGGGCGCTGTGCGCAGGAGCGAGGTAACGGCGCGGCAGGACCGCAAGGAGTGTAGCTGCTGCCTCAGCGGCGGCGATGGAGCTTGCAGCTGCGGCTTCTAAAGAGTAAGTGGCGCGGTAGCGAAAGCCGCTGAACCCACCTGGCTAGCCGGCGAGTTGAGTGGCGAGTGAGTGTCGGTCGCGGGGCGCACTCGAGCTCCTGGGCGGGTCTGTGAGGCGAGGCGGCCTCTCTGCGGGACGCCTCCGTGGAGCTGAGGGGCGCGGGCCGAGGTCCGGGCGGGATCGGGCCAAAGGACTGGGCTGGGCGTCTCGAGCCCCGTGCGGAGGCGAGGCGGGAGCGACAAAGGCGCTGAGCGGCCGGGCGACCCCCTCCCGCCTCTTCGCGAAGTTTCGCGGGCCGGCCCTTTGGGTCGGCTGCGCGAGGGCGACAGCCCGGGAGACCGCACTTCCCTCCCCCGGGCCCGAGGCTGTCACGCAGGCGGGGTCCGTGCACCCGAGCGCGGCCTGGAGAAGCGGCGGGAGGCGGCCGGTCCCTGTGAACCCCAGCCCAGGCGGGCGGCGTTTTTCCACCTCTCCCCTCACATCTGGAGCGGGTGTTGTTCCGCGAAAGTTGGCGACTGTCACCGGGCACTCGCGAGGGCGCCGCAAGTGCGTCAAACCCTTCTGCGGGGCGCTGGGGGCTGGCCCGGCTCGGGTGCCCGGGCGCTGGGCAGGGAGCGAGGCCGCTGTCCCCGCGTCGAGGTGGCCCGGCTCCCGGTGTAACGGGACCAGGGATCCAAGACTTTGGGCTACTTGCAACCAACCCTGTAGCGTGCGCGGCGTGCGGGTTACAGAAATTTCTGACAAATCCGCCAGGGCTCTGTGCATACCTGAGGGCCTGGATAGCAGTTGTCCCAGGTACTTCGATCGTGCAAAGAGAACGTTCTTTTTTCTTTCTTCTTCTTTTTCTTTTTTTTTTTCTTTTTGGAGACGGAGTCTCACTCTGTCGCCCAGGCTGGAGTGCAGTGGCGCGATCTTGGCTCACTGCAAGCTCCACCTGCCGGGTTCAAGCGATTCTGTCGCAGCCTCCCGAGTAGCTGAGACCACAGGCGCCCGCCACCGCACCGGGCTAATTTTTTGTATTTTTTGGTAGAGATAGGATTTCACCGTGTTAGCCAGGATGGTCTCGATCTCCTGACCTCGTGATCCGCCCGCCTCGGCCTCCCAAAGTGCTGGGATTACAGGTGTGAGCCGCTGCACCCGGCGTTTGTATGTGTGTTTTTAATAGAGTTGGGGTTTCACCGTGTTGGCCAGGCTGGTCTCGAACCCCTCACTTTTGGTAATCCATCTGCCTCGGCCTTCCGAAGAGCTGGGATTACAGGTGTGTGCCACCGCACCTGGCTGTATTTTTTAATTTAATATTTAAATATAATGTATTTTAAATTTGTGTAAGAATTTACATAAAACACTTGTTTTCATTTAACATTAGTTAATTTAACTGTGTTGTATCCTCATATGAATTTTATTTATTCCTTTACTGATGTCCAGTAAGGCCATTTCAAGTTGCTTTTATTACATATTTGCTGTAATGACCTTCCTTGTCCATGTATTCGATTATGCATATTTCTTGGAGAACACACAGAGGTTTCTTTAGCTAATATATCTGGAAGTGGAATTGCTAAGTCACAGGGATGTACATTTGTAATTTAGGGTGTATTGCTAATTGCTATTTAGAATATCTTTTCCAAGTTACTCTCCAAACCAGCAATGTAGAAGATTCCCCATTTCTTACATGCTTGCCTTTTTTGCCACACCAGTGGTTTGAAACATAATTCTTTTTTCTTTTTGAGAAGGAGTCTCACTCTGTTGCCCAGGCTGGAGTGCAGCCACGTGATCTTGGCTCATTGCAACCTCCGCCTCCCTGATTGAAGCGATTCTCCTGCGACAGTGTCCTGAGTAGCTGGGATTACAGGTGCGTACCACCATGCCCGGCTGATTTTTGTACTTTAGTAGAGCTGGGATTTCACCATGTTGGTCAGGCTGGTGTCAAACTCCTGACCTCGTGACCTGCCCGCCTCGGCCTCATAAAATGCTGGGATTACAGGTGTGAGCCACTGCGTCTGGCTGAAACATAATTCATTTTCTGATTTGCCTTTCCCTGATTATTAGTGAGGTTGAGCATCTTCTGTGTTTTCTTGTTTGTGAATTGCCTATTAGTACCCTTAGCCCATTTCTTTGTTAGCATATTTGTATCAAGATGTGAATTATCTGTCTGTACTTTGTCTGTTTAATATGTGTATTTTTAAAATATGTTTTAATGACATACGTTTTGAGTTTTTGTGGGTTTTTTTTTTTTTTGACCTATTTCCTTGGATGTGTTTTCCCAAGGAATGTTTTCAGCATAAGCTTCAGATGTTCCCTGACCAGATACATGGCAAGAGTTTTGATACTCCCTCTTTCTTACTGTTCCTCTTTGCTTCCTTTTCAGACCTTTTGAAACAGATGGTCACCACGTTTAGATATTAGCAGTCCCGTATGTGCAGGTCTGCGTTTGAAAATGGCAGAGGGAAACAGCAATGAAGAGGTGATTCACTTGAACAACTTTCACTGCCATCGGGGACAAGGTAAGTTGTTTGCTCTCACTTTATCCCTTTACCTGTGGCTTTTTCTTTTAGTATCACAGTTATTTCTTTTGAAATGATCCTATTTTGTACCATTTAGAATCCAGGGACATTTCATTTTGAGACATAAAAAGACTAGTTAGACCAGAATTATATCAGATAATGATATTGCTGGCATGAATGAAGTGTAAGACTCATTCATTACAACGAGATTAATAAGCTATTAATTTGCTGATAAGACGCTGTTAATGTGCAGTCATGGAATCTTAAGAGAGAGTGTCACCATCAATTTTTGAAGGCGTGTTGATTATAAAGGAGTGCTCCACTAGGCCTTTATGACCTGAAATACTACAGGTGATGCTGAACCGGTCTTGTCTTCCCATGATGCTTAATTTCTTTTTTGCCAGAAGATTCTGGCTTAGCCTTGAGGGGAATTTTGGAACATGTATTTTTTTGTTCTGCAGTTTTGTTTTGTGTTTTTCTTTTTTTGAGATGGAATTTCACTAAATGCCCAGGCTGGAGTGCAATGGCAT